TCACTGCAGCTGGACAGGAGGGGGGGTCCAGTTGTAATCGGCGGGGGGTGGTTGTGTGTCAGCGGCCTGGCAACGATTGTCGCGGCCATCGACCGACAAAACGGAGCCGGAGAAAAGGAGAACTGGAGCGGCTGCTACAACTCCCCCCAGACACCAAACGGAGTGAAGGCGTCGACATGCTAGCCAGCCACAAACCTGTCGGGCCAGTGGACGTGACGACCAGATCGTGTGCGGCGAACCGGAGGGGGGCTGTCGCCAGTAGGTGGAGGCATCAGTGTTTGCGGCGGGGTGCAGTGTTGGGGTGAGGAATGGTCACTGTCGTCGATGAACGCCGGCTTGACGCGATCAATGCTGACTGTGTCGGTCTTGCCGTTGCGGTCGATGACAACATCTTTGTCAGATCGACGAAGGACTTTATACGGCCCGTCATATGGTGGTTGGAGTGGTCGTCGGACAGCGTCATGCCGAACCAAGACGAAATTGCCGTTGCGGTCGATGACAACATCTTTGTCAGATCGACGAAGGACTTTATACGGCCCGTCATAGGGTGGTTGGAGTGGTCGTCGGACAGCGTCATGCCGAACCAAGACGAAATTGCACTTATCTAGGTCGGGAGGGATGAAGGAATTGGCCGGTGACGCCCAAGGGGGTGTTGCGCGGAGATTGCGCATGACACTACGCAGCTGCTCCACATAAATGCAAGGTTCAAAAAACGTTAGCATGTTTGAGGGAGACACTAACTCACCGGGCAGTCGTAGGGAGGTTCCTTAGACAAGATCAGCTGCAGTGCAACCGATGTCGGCCTTGAGAGTGGAACGGAGGGACAACAGCACCAGGGGAAGGTGATCAGACCATCGGGAAGGATCGGACTGGGCCATAAGGGAAGTCTTGAGCTGTCGATGGAAGCGTTCGACGAGACCATTTGCTTGAGGGTGGTACGATGTTGTTCGGATTCGGTTGGTACCGAGAGGGGATGTGAGTTCGCGAAAAAGCGTGGACTCGAATTGGGATCTGCGGTCAGTGGTGACAGTCGCAGGAACTCCAAAATTGGACACCCAATGAGTCAAGAAAGCTCTTGCCACGGTTTCGGCACTGATGTCCGGAATGGGCGCAGCAACCGGCCACCGAGTAAACCGATCAATACATGTCAGCATATAGGTAGAACTGTTAGATGGTGGAAGCGGACCTACCAGGTCAATATGCACATGACTGAAGCGTGCATCAGGAGTGGCGAAAGTTCCTGGCGGAGTAATAGTATGCCGATGCGTTTTGGCTCGTTGACATGGTAGACAGGTGCGGGTCCAACGCCGTACATCCCGGTTGATGTTGGGCCAGACGAATCGGTCAGTGATGAGTTTCACTGTCGCCCGGACTCCAGGGTGGGATAGATTGTGAAGAGCTTTGAACACTCGTCGTCGTAAAGTTGCTGGAACAAAAGGACGTTCGTGTCCGGTAGAAAGGTCGCACGTGATGGTGCCAGTGCCAGTGAGAAGGGGGACATCTTGAAGGCGTAAAGAAGAGTCCTCGTGGTGGTATTGGGGAAGTTCGCCATCCGATCGTTGAGCCTCAGCCATGAGCGTGAAGTCTATGGCGTCTGTTGTGATGGAAGCCATCTCGATTCTTGAAAGAGCATCAGCAACCAAATTTTCCTTACCATGGACATGTGGGATGTCGCAGGAAAACTGTGAGATGAAGTCTAGATGACGAATTTCACGGGGCGAGTATCGATCGGGAGAGGCCCTCAGTGCGAAAACGAGTGGCTTGTGATCTGTGAGAACAACAAATTCACGACCCTCGAGGAAATGGCGGAAGTGCCGGATGGATAGATAAACGGCAAGGAGTTCTCGGCCGAAGACACTGTAGCGGGTCTCTGCAGGGCTGAGCTTCTTCGAGAAGAAAGCCAAAGGCTGTAGAACACCACCAACAGTTTGCTGAAGTGAAGCACCAACGGCAGTGCTGGAAGCATCTGCCATGAGAGTTAGCTGAGCATCTGAGCGAGGATGGGCAAGCAATGTTGCGTCCGCAAGTGCGGCCTTGACGTCATTGAAGGACGTGACGGCCTCCTCGGTCATCACTAGTGTCTTCTTGGAGTGGGTCAACAGGCTGTTGAGAGGCTGCAGTATAGTGGCACCATGTGGAAGAAAATGGTGGTAGTAGTTCACCATCCACAAGAATCGGCGTAGTTGGCTGATGGTTGTCGGGACGGGGAACGTTGATATGACCGAAACTTTTTCTGGGACGGGCTTTATCCCATCTGAGTTTACTTCGTGACCAAGGAAGATAAGGCTGGGGACTCCGAACTCACATTTGGCGGCATTGATGATAACGCCGTAGGAGTCGAGCCGTTCGAAGAGTTGTCGAAGATGAACCTCGTGTTCTGCAGCGTCAGAGCTAGCCACCAACAAATCATCAATGTAGGCGTAGACGAAGTCGAGACCTCGCAGAACCTGATCAATGAATCCCTGAAAGGTTTGAGTGGCGTTCCTCAGACCAAAGGGCATACGAGTAAATTCGAATAACCCAAAGGGAGTGGTCACTGCAGTCTTCGGAACATCACTGGCCTCGATCGGGATTTGGTGGTAGGCACGCACAAGGTCGATTTTAGAGAATATTCGCTTACCATGTAGCGAAAGAGTGAAGTCTTGGATGTGCGGGACGGGATACTGGTCGGGGACCGTCGCTGAGCTCAACGCCCGATAGTCACCACACGGTCGCCAGTCGCCGCTCTTCTTGGGGACAAGATGGAGGGGTGATGCCCAGCAGCTGTCGGACTGTCGGATGATGCCGAGCTCAAGCATGTGATCGAACTCTGCCTTGGCGATCTTCAAACGGTCCGGAGCAAGACGACGTGGTCGGCAAGATTTGGGAGGTCCATTGGTGGAAATGTGGTGAGTGACTGTGTGTTTGATGTCCACTTCACGAAATGAGGGGTTGGTCAGGCGGGGAAACTGCCTGAGGAGTGAGTGGAAAGGACAGTCAGAGATGGGCATAACAGTGAGAGGGTTGACGCAGAGGTTCACATCGGATTGACAACGGGCATGTAGGTTGGTGATGCAGTCGACGAGTCGGCGATTCTTCAAATCAACTAGTAGATTGAAGTGAGCTAGGAAATCGGCACCTATGAGGGCGACAGAGACGTCGGCAATAATGAAAACCCATCGGAAAATTCGACGAAGGCCCAAATCAAGTGTGATGGAGCGCTGTCCAAAGGTGGGGATGCTGGAGTTGTTGGCAGCTGTTAGACAAAAAGAGCTGCGGGTTTTGCGTTCGGCCGGAGTTGGTGGAACCACGCTAACCTCGGCACCAGAGTCGACAAGGAATTTGGCGCCAGCGATACGGTCCCAGAGAAACAAACGGCGAGTGTTGAGATTGGCAACTCTTGCAGCAGCAGCAGTGGCCTCTGGTGTCGAGTGGGATCGTCTCCCTGAGGCCGTTAGAGATGCCTTGAAAGAGCATGGCTGAAGAAATCGTCGAGCTGCTCCTCCAAATTGTTGGTGATACCAGCAGACGCTATTTGGAGATTGTGAACGGCGGGTGTGGGAAACGGAGGAAGTACGGCGACGGTTTGGTGTTCGCCGCGGGCCGTTAGTGGTAACTGCAGTGAGTTGGGCTTTCAGGCGCAATAATACCTCCTCGAGCCGATCCAAGCGTAAGCTAGCTCCTTGAGAATTTGGGTTGATGAGTGACTTCTGGTCTTGGGACATCGCGCTGTAGGTTGCAGGAAGATTGTTGTTGTGGACGAAGAGTTTGCGGAATTCCGGTGTTCGGAAATTAGGGGTGACCAATTTGTGGCGGTCAAGGATGTGAGATCAACTTAAACCACGCACAATAAGTTCGTTTCGTCTACTGTCAAAAGTCAGGGAGCTGTGAGGACTAGTTTATTCTGTACACAGGGCAGGTTGCCGTAAGTTGGCTGTTTGCTTGCAACAGAGAAAAGCGTCCGTTCACGGAGAGCGTCAGTCGCGGTGTGTAGTTTACGCGGGAGTGAAAGTCTGTGTCAGTAGGTGGGGGTGACTGGTTGGATGCTGGTCATGAGATTGGACGGATTAGGGGGAAGCATAATTAAAGGGGGTCACGGGTATCAAGCCAGGTCGTCCGACGCGCATGAGGTGATAATTGTTTGTGGGGGCAGCCGGGGGTCACTGCAGCTGGACAGGAGGGGGGGTCCAGTTGTAATCGGCGGGGGGTGGTTGTGTGTCAGCGGCCTGGCAACGATTGTCGCGGCCATCGACCGTCAAAACGGAGCCGGAGAAAAGGAGAACTGGAGCGGCTGCTACAGGGTAAGCGGCTTGCTTCAGAAAATGACTCCCGAACATGTGTAATTCTCCAACTCTGCACTTTGAGATTTATTTCGCCCAGGCTGGGCCTCCCGATAATTTCCGCCAAGCTCCCTCTCCATTTCTCCCACTCCACGGGTGGAAAATCTCGCTGAAAAAGTGTTGGGTGAGGATTTAAAAGTGCGGATAGCCTGATCAGCAGTAGCTGTTCTTGCTCCTCATCATGGGGGCAACTTTTGGCGCACTCGGTCGCCCTGGCGCATCCCTCGAGTCTTTTGTTCAGCCTATCCCGAAGGTCTTTAGTACGGCGAATTTCTCGTCTCATCATTGTAGGAATTTGAGGTATAGTTGGAATATTTCCACGTTATCGCTTATCCTGTTATTGGGGGTCGGAAGCAGACTCAGGTATGCTATTTATGACTGTGCACATGCTGCGATCAGCTGGAGAGCCTTGCAGTTTATTTTTACGGGCAGAGACTCCATTTCGTATATCTTAGTTATTGACTTCATCCGCAGACCAGCACTTCAAATTTTCACCGACGGCCGACACACTACAAATAATTAAAGAAGGGCGAACTACACCTGTGGAACCCGCAAAGGTGGAGTTGGACCTACAAACCCAGAATACTTTGCCTCCTACGTCTATGAATACATACTACTACGCGACTTGTTTAAAACTTCAGGAGACCACTTTCGCGGAATTTTGGAAGGGGTCGTGTAGGCATGATTTTCCAGCGCAAGGTGGGTTTATTCTTTTCCCATTTCACTCGCACCTTGATTAAATTAAATAGGCTATTATAATTGATGCTAGAGGGCACCTGTTAGGTCGGTTGGCGTCTATCGTCGCAAAGACCCTGCTTCAGGGTCAAAAAGTTGTTGTCGTTAGATGCGAGCAGATTAACATATCTGGCTCCTTCTACAGAAACAAATGTAAAACTAATTTTTGAAGTTACCTGCCCTTAGTGAAGTACCGTGAGTTTCTGCGCAAGCGTATGAACACCAACCCATCGCACGGACCTTACCACTACCGCTCCCCAGCCAAAATATTTTGGCGCACTGTGCGTGGAATGCTGCCACACAAACTCTACCGTGGTAAGGAAGCCCTCGGCAAGCTTAAGTGCTATGAGGGCATTCCTCCTCCTTATGACAAGAAGAAGCGCGTTGTGGTCCCCTCCGCTCTTCGAGTCCTGCGCCTAAAGCAGCGAAGGAAGGTGAGAAATTTTCCTTATTCGTTACTCATCTAGTTCTGCGTCCTTTCTCGGCTATCCCACGAAGTGGGCTGGAAATACCAGAACGTAATTGAAAAGATGGAAGGCCGAAGAAAGGCTAAGGCCGCTGTATGGTACAAGAAGAAGAAGGTTGATGCCGTCCCAGATCAGGCTGCACGTGGACAGGCGAAGGCTGCTATTGCTCCCTACAAAGCCATCCTGAAGAAGTACGGTTATTAGCCTTCTTGCAATAAATTTGGCAACTATTTTTCCCGTTATCTACAAACTCGTCACAGATTTGCAAATCCGTTCAGCACAGTTCCTTGTAATTGTGACTTCATTCGTCACTACTAATTCAGCTGGTTTCAAGTTTGCCGCGTGACAAATGATCGCCTGTTGTTATCGGTAGCTGAAGACTGGCTAAAAGAATTCGCCACGGAACTTACCGTGTGTTGTGGACCGAATATACCCTGAGCGTTACCACCATAAGTTGTCACCTGCCAGAGGCGTTTGCGCCCCCTGCTATTTTGCCGGACCGCAGGAAGGAAGGTGGTCACCTTCGTTCCAAGGAAGTCGGTCTCAGTGTTGACTGTCGTTGCATCTACCTTATGCATTCGTGACGCCAAGAATTGACCACACACAGACTGGTCACTCCAGCAACACGTCTGTTGTTTAGGTCGAAGCATTGGTCTGCTTATTAGTGCCCTTCGGGCCGCGAAATTGACGATTTAGCAGGGCTCACGTTGAACAGGTCCGGTGCTACCGATGCAGCATCCACATTTCGTGCCGATCGCAACTCCTGCATTCCCTTTATCGGCTGGTGAGGCAGATGCATAATTGTTGGCTCACACTAACCATGCAAAGACTATGAATGCCTGTGAAAACATGTACGTCTTTGAGCAACGCACGTGTGCTTGCATATATCCGTGGCGTCCACGTTTTAAAAGCAGATTAATTCCGACTTTGTGTTTGCAATTTCTCCGTCCATGGCATTCACAAGTCGCACACTGCGTACGGCAGGTGGCCTGCGTCTTAATAAGTAGCATTATGGCTACCTAGATCTAGATTTTGTAGCAGTACAGAATCCTCAGTATCGGCTTTGGTGTTTTCTCGAACCGTTGAATCAGGCGACATGCCTCTGCCGGTTCCCTGCCACCGACACCCAAAGCCTGTCAATCCACTTTCTAGATTGCGTTTTTATGACAAGGCCGTCAGGCGGGACCGGTCGGTACACCAAAGAGGCGTTTTACTGTCAGTGACTGTGTCACTTATTGTTGTCATTTTAGACTCAAACGCAACACGTATCTTTCGAAGCAAAGGTAAAAGGCGAAGCAGGGAGATCCTCAAAGACGGTTTAAGATGCATATGTGCCGACATTCTGGACGAGGCCACTTCGGCGTCTCGGTAGACGTGTTGCGTGTCCTATTATGGGTCTTGACTACACCGCATGCAATGTATTTTGCGCCAGATAGGGCGGAGGCAACCAGAGTTGGTCCGATAATCACATGAAAGGCGAAGTTGATCGCGTCCGGAGCTGTCAGCCTGGTCGTATTAGGCGGTGAAGCTCTGGCTGCTGGGTGCATCATGCTACCCGAGTTTTCCGCAGCACCGGTAGGGCACAGATTAAGTAGTTTTTGTTCAGCCTCACGCAGTCGACGTTTTGCAGAATCCATGGGAGTTGGTGTGGGATCACTGCGGTGATCAAGTCGCCAAAGTTTGGAGTCTGTACTGAAAAAATTATGCGCGAGAGACATCCTCAAAGCCCGGCCGGCTGTGCTTGTACTTCAATATTTGAACTTCTTTTCGCCTGTTCAGGACGGCGGCGAGATCTAGGGTGTTCTCGTACCCAAGCCCCGCTTTAGATGGTTACGATTTTGAGGTGGCCAACTAAAATGGCGACGAACGTGAAGGTTGGCTTCGGACGCATTTGTAGCCCAACGCCTCCGTGTCTGGCATGCCCACTCGCTTGACTTCGCTCTTTGGTGTGCCACCGGCCGACTGGAATAGGGGTTCGTTCGCCGTGCGGTGGGCCCACAGCCATGAGCAGGCTGATTCAGTAATGGCGAATTCCATTGAAGAAAGGCAGCATACCAGAGGGGGAGTGTGCTTTCCTACCGTCATCATTTCCGTTTGACCACCACACCACGCAAGCAATATCTTTTTGTGGAAATTTCAATTACCTGCCGAGACAGGGTTGACACAGATTTTCCACGACAACAAGTGACTCGTTGAAAGCAATGACGAATGTCTTCGTTGGTTTGTGTTTGTGCTTTAGGTGACGAGTGGGGGAGGGGGAGTTCGTTATAACTGTTAGCGTGAACAGTTTTCTCGAAGTCCTTCCTTATTTTTAAATGTTTAAAACCGGGAGAAGTTGAGGTTCTAAGGGCGCCGTTGTTGATTTTAGGACACTGCGAGTGGGTAGAGTCCAGCATGATGTTAAACTGATGGGAGAGGTTCAGGAACAGGTTTTTGACAGCCAGGGAAGCGATCAAAGTGGTGGTAGTCCAAACCGGTCCGTACGGGCCCAGATTCCACAGCTGCCACGTCAGGCTTCCCACTTGCTGTGCTTTCTAGAACCCCAAACGCCGCTGGAGCGGGCGAGTCAGCATGTTATGTCCTCTGTTTCGAGTCTTAGGAACACCCGGAAGGGGGTTTACAGCGTCGTTCCTCGGCATACCAGTCTTCTTTCCGTGATTTTCGTCTAGACACTCCGTGCTTGGTTTGCGTCGAAAGTTTCTTTCAATTCTGCACAACACTTCTGCCAATCATGACAGATTCGTGAGACCTTTGCAGTACCTCCCTGTTCTGGTCGTCGGATCCAGCAACGTTATCGTGTCACAAGCGTTATGCCGGGGGCATACCCGACACCTCACGAATTTCAAAGTTAACCAAAACTGGATCTGTTTCGCGATTGTGTGTTGGACGCGTTAGTCGTTTTCAGGCCCTTAGCTACTGCTATCCATTCCCCAGATTTCGCGTTCTCAGATGACAGCCAATGCAGTTGTATCCTGATTCTGATGGACCGTCCAGTAATACTTCCCACAGAGGACCGTTTTGAGAACGATGGCCGTGTACATGTCGTGGCGATCCCAGAATGGGGATTTTAGTCTGTCAGATGTCAGGCTGACCTTGGAGATACGAGCTGCACTTTTGTCTACTTTAGCACCACGGAGGTGTGCTTTCTAGATTTGTCTAGCAGAACAGAGACAGTGACTATGAGTTCGATGTACGCCCAAGTTGCTGCACCCGATGCGCAGATGCCCAAGTCTCATTGTATGTCGTCTTCGGTCGCCACATTCGGTGTGCAGCAGCCGCGATGAGATCAGGTATCCTGACCTCGGATACCACTTTCGTTGCCCCAATATGTCGAATCATGAACTCCGGTGAGTTCAATAATTTATGCTTTTGTAATCGTCCACCAGCATGATGGATAACACAAGGCTGGGGAGGGTTGGGCTCACTACTTAACTCTGCTTCTCTGTATGCGCGATGGCTAAGGTTCCCTAGGTAGGACGATTGTCCACGCCCCGGCACTACACGCTGCCGTGAAGTTGTTTGGCCATCCTTAGTCCATTATTTTCCAGAGTACTTTGCTGATCATGGCCGCGTGGACGCCGGCCGTGATTTCCTGCGTTTTGCTCCGTGTTTTCGGAATCCGCGCTGAGCTGCCGGACGAGACCATTGCCCCTTTCATAAGATCAGCTGACCAAAAAGGATGCAGGAGCAGACTTTATCGGTTGTGCAAGGAGCGGCAGTAGCTCGGTTGCGTTGTTAAATTTTTCGGTTACTTTTTCGTTTGTAGAATTGGACACTGGTTTAGTCTTTGGAGTTCCGATGAATTTGTCCTTGTTTGCCCGTTTTCGGGAATAGCGGGGTCAGTTTGTCTCGAAATCGACCGCTACCGTATTCGTAGACTAACTGGAATCGACTTGGCATGGGGCGGGGGGATTTTCCACCAGAAGGCTCCTGCACTGCCTCCACAATTTTCCTCAGAAAGGTTGACTAATCGGGCTCAGCCGTTTTTGAACGCGAGGAAGTCTGTTGTTCGTTTTGCAAGATGGCAATAGATTCCTGAGAATGTACCCAAAGTGCTCTAAGTATTTCTTGAGACTTCGAACTACCCGACTGCAGGTTTTGCTGTAGGCCCTGGAGTAGCGCGACCGCGGGCGATGTTGATGACTGCGAAAAGCCGCTACGTCTGACGCTAGTCGGTCTACCTCTGCTTTGCGGGTCATTCAGCCGTCCTCCATCTGCAGCCAATCTTGCAGTTAGCGGAGCGGTCAGGAGAATATGACTGTTTGCGGCTCTCGTCGTTCGCTGCAGATGCTTCTGATTTGTCGAAAAAATGATCGGTAAAATCACCCAGGTGAATATAGACAAAAAGTACTTTCAGGATGCAGTAATAATAATATCTCTTGTCAAGTTATCTTTTAGTGGAAGTTCTCGTGGGTCGCCAAAGTATTCTCCGTATTTCAATGAGAATACGAACCAGAGCTGGCACGCCGTAGCAACCAGTGCTAGGTAACGGACGGATTTTCCACATATACCGCTACGGACCGCCAGTTTTTAAAAAAGGATTTAGCACTTGGTAAAGCTACTGCAAGGGGTGCTAAAGCCAACCTGGAGGTGGCCTATTTGACGCCTGCCCACCTTTAGCAGGGTAACCTCGGTTATAATAACATTACCGACAAAGACAAGGGAGGCCGGAATGGCCATTTCTGGCTTATTAGCCGTCGCCAGTCAGTCATACCCAACTCCGAAATGGTGAACACCTGGGACTCGACCCCGCGACCTGTTAGAAGTCCAACGCCTCCAACCACTGAGCCACGGGCTCGTTGTCCTGTCTGTTGCGATCGGGAATGTACTATGGTAGAGGGGCGCCCATAGATCGCTTTTACAGAACTCACTCGTCCCACGAGCCCCAGGTGTTCCCACACTGGGGTTGGGTATGACTGACTGACGACGGATAATAAGCCAGAAATAGTCATTCCAGTCTCCCTTGTCTTTGTCAGTGATGTTAGCCTGCCTATAGTATACGCAGCTGTGCGGCTGCTGGTTGGGCTCGAGAGAGATCCCCGAGACACTACGAGACGTGTGAGCTCTGTAACACGATCGGTGAGCACCCTCCGACCATAAACTCGGTTAGTTTTTCGGCGGCTGAGGTTGCGTATGAGTGTACCGCGGGAATTGTGTCTACATAGACTAGGAGTTGACCCCTCTTGTCTCTTGCGGGGACGGGG